GGTTCTAGTCCCGCCTGGGGCGAAAGTTTTGTTCACAACCCAGCATTCTTGTGAAACATTCGCAAGGCGAACTGCGGCCAAAAACAGCAGTTAACAATCAAAAACAAGTCAAAATCCTCTCTTTAGTATTTATTTATTCATGCGTAGAACGCGCTGATGCATGACTAGGCTGGAGAGGTTGACCGAGTGAGATAATTTTACAATTATAAAGCAACAACAAAAAAGTAGAAAAAAAAACTCAATAATGACTAAGTGACTAAACGATGCCCTAAAATGAGCCTATGGATAAGAGGAGGGACGAAATAGAATGCCACGAAATCGGAGGTTTGCCAATCAAGTGGATCGGGAACTGCTTCTAAATGTGTAGTAATTAGGAGATAAGCGGGAAACTTTCGCTGCATTGAGATAGCGTGGTAACATATTTTTAGTGTTATTCGAAAGCATGCCATGCCTGCTAACGCCAGACACGTCTAAACCCAGAAGCTACCCATAGCACAAGCCTGCATCAGTCGGCAATGATGCCCGCTCGCCACTTGCGGGGTCATAGGTACTTGCCGTAACTTCGAAACACGGGTATACCGACCACCCTCGTGGAAACGGCAAGCAAGGCGTATGTACGGGTAGGCCACTAGCAGACGTGAGAAGGAATAGGCCGCATACTCAGCTTTCGTATGCTAGTGACAGACAGAAGCCAAAAGTGGAGTAATCAGCACGAAAGTTGCCCGGTAGATCGTGAAGCAAGACGAGCCGCTTGACAGACAAACTAGGTCAGCAGAGGCAACAATACATCAAGAGACATCGGAAATACCGAGCATTTCCAAGAGATTGATCTTTTGAATCGCTGATGTAAATAGCTTCGAGTTGCTCAATGCTAGAAAATGTGGTGGGAGAGACGCCAGCCATTTGGTTGAACGAATAACGGATAATGCCCATTTTAAACGAATAACGAATAATGCCCATTTTATGATTGTACGTATGAAATGTTCCTCTACGTCCATGCGTTGGCCGGAAGGTCCAATATCTGGATGGCTTGATGCGTAGTTCACACTTGAGAATCTTAAAAGCCAAGATCAAATCAGACTGGACGCGCCTATAGAACAAGCTTTTAGGATTCAGCTTTTAAGATTCAGTAAATAAGAAATAAGAGAGGAGGGAGAGAGCCGCCTTGAGGGACTCCTGTTGGACAGTCCCTAACAGTAGAAATGTAGTCAGAAAAGCCGCACATTCATTTTCCAGTCGGTAAGTGCGAGCTAAACCACCTCAAGGACATCACCTCGAACACCAATGCCTTCGAGCTTAATTAAAAGGCTACTTCTGCACACTGTGTCGAAAGCTTTGGTCAGAGAAGTAGACCACATCAACTCGATTGCCGAGATTGAGTGCCTCTATCCACTTATGTGTGCAATCAATCAGTTGGGTGCATGTAGAAGTACCTGGTAGGAAACCAAACTGTTCAAGGGGATGCATTGCAATTTGATTACCCACTCCAACAGTTTTCATTTACGATTTTCTCCATCACTTTAAGCGGAGTGGGGAGAATACTTATCGGGCGAAAACTGGATAACGAGTTGGAATCGCTTCTCTTTGGAATGGGCGTTACTATTGCATGCTTCCAAGATGGAAGGGACCTCACCTAGAATTAGAGAAATATTGAATATGTGAGCAAGGCGGGTTAGCCAGCTCTTTTGCAAACTGTTTGAAGAAGAATTGCGGTATCCCATCGGATGTTATTGAAAAGAAGGTTTTTGCGAAATCAGGTGCTTAAGAACCATCTGTGGGGTGATTCCAGGTAATTTGAAGCATTTGTCAGTAATAGAGGTAGCTGTTACATGCCTTACAGTTTGACGCACAAAAACGCTCTCAAAATAGTCGGCCAAAGCTTCACTCTTCTCTTCACTTGTTGAATACTTTTCTCCGTTTGCTCCTTCAAGAGCATGCTTCACTGGTACACGATTGAGGAATTTCTTTATGTGAGCGGCAAAATATTTCAAATTACCCGCAACCGACAACTTTCTAAATTTGTATGCTAAGAATCGCTTCAAATGATAATCCAACTTCTTGCTGACTTCCTTGATAAACAGTAGACTTAGTGGGATTATTTATTTGGAAAGAACAACCTTTCACGTTGTTGAATCAAATTTACTATATGGACTGGGTGCCTCGATGTATGCCTCATGTTTTCTTTCCATGGAACGAATCGATCAAGAACATTATAGATAATATTGCAAAAACGCTCATATACGTATATCATCTATGTTTAGATAATGGTCAAAAACACTGAGCCAATCTATGCGAGACAGGTAAAAAGCGATTGCATCTTTATCTACATGCCTGAAATCCCTAAGAGAGCTGGACGTTCCTCTCTAGTGATTTCAGGCATGGCAAAGCCAACTATGTGTGATCCGAGGAGGAGAGGGGAGGCATGGCGATGGGGAATACTGCACTGTGCAGAAAGCACGACATCGAGTGTTTTATTTTCGCGCGTTGGAAATCCACAAATTTTCAGAAAGATAGCGAGTCAAAAATCGATAAGAATTTGCACGCCGATGGTGAAGTCCTATCCGGTGGGACCAATCGATATTGAGATTTGGGTCCTTAAAACGGTCGTGGAGACAGGTGTGGCTGAGGCAAGGTCAGAAATTATCGATAGGAGAAGATCATCTTGGCTGCCAGTTGAGTTAGGTGGACGGTATACAAGTAAGAAATGATGCTTGCAGCCATACGGCAGAAAAACATCAAAACAAATCACATCAGCAGCCAAATCCTCACAGCATCAAATTTTCTCGAATACGAGTAGGTCATGGATGAGTACGCACACGCCTCCTCCTCTTCGGGCCAATCGATCTTTTCTTAAGTTACTATAAGGCACGTCAGAGCAAATCTCGGAATCAGAAAGTGATAGAAGATAGGTGGTCGAGCCGCTAAACAACACTGCCTGTGGTCGAATCGCTAAACAACACTTAAGCATCAAGACGTCAGTGTTGTAGATTGGTTAGCATGCAGTGTAAATCCGAATTCTATGGAAAACATTTGGGAAATTTTTGGGAAGTAAATTTATGCTGATAGCAGGCAGAAAGTATTGTGGAAGACCTAAGTGGAGAAGTGCTGCTCCAGGCGCATTGATGAGGTAGTATGCTTCCCCTAAACATGCCCACAGAATCGCAAATGAGTAAGCAGGAAGAGACATTTTCGATCCTCTCGCCCAGAATGTCGTTATATTTTGAAAAGCTAGCATTTCTATTCCACCCATATTTCACTAGTTTGGGACCCATCGTTCACGATAAGAAAGAAAAGAACAAGAGAATTGCATCTAAAATTCGAAAAATCGAAAGGGCTGCTACGCGTTCAAAGTACCGCCGGACATCTGTCACAAATGCTGGCGCTTATGGGAATGCTTCCACTTGGTTCTTGGAGTGCTGTCACTAGAAACTCTTTCTGGCCTTTTGACTTATTGCATTCACATCTCACACTTCTACTGCATCCTATTCTATCGATCGATTTGTCTCTACTCTCCAAAATCGCACGCTTTAACCCGATTCTTTCATTGCGTCTGATACGTAGCCGCCCCAAGGCGGACTTCTTTCCATGCCCCGCCTTTGGCTCCGCGCCACTTACCTTACCTTTTAATTGTCCATAGAGTGTAGTTTTTGTAAGTTTGTTTCTCTTCGGAAACCGAATCTTTCTGCGTGAAACGGGCGTGAAACTGTGTGCTGTCACTAGTGATCACAACTGATATATGCGTGTTGGAAAAGAATACAAGATTTTTTTGTGAAGGATTCCTCTAGTAACAAACGGTACTATTTTACAGGTATCTTTGTCGTCATGGTGTCGTGGTCGTTACAATTCAGTATCGTCTTGCTCTGCTAGGCTTTTTGTCGACTGGCGACGAAGTCTGTGCTGGTAATCTAGGTCTCTGGGACATGACAATGGCTCTTCAATGGGTTCAGGTTTGCCGATTCTCATCTCAATCTTGCTGTTATATTTCATTTTGATGATGAAATGTTTAGAACAACATAGAAGCCTTTGGTGGAGATTCCCATCGAGTAACGGTATTCGGCCAAAGTGCTGGTGGAGCCAGTGTGGATTTGTTAGCGATCAGTCCACACTCCAGAGGTAATACAATTTTATTTCCTTTAATTACTTAATGAGGACCTTGACAGGGGATGTCACGACAATCGTTGCTCATCAGAGTAGGGACGCTACCATAGACTGGGAGTAAAGTGGTGACATCGACCGTTAACGGCGAGTAATGAAAGGCGAGACAACGAGATGACCCTTGTGTCAACGGTGAACTTCACTACATTCCTAGCAAAGCTCGCATCGCCCATGGACTTGAACCATGTAATGCAGCGCCTCATGAG